TTGTAAAGCTTCAGGAAGGAGTACAGCCAGCATCCAGCAGGCAGCCCACTCTTTCTCCCTTCTGAGAGCAGTATGAAGATGCACTCTGTTGAAACAAACATGGTGACCACCTGCCACAACTGTCAGACTGTGGTGGAAACCCAGGCTGGGGAGCCACAACCTTTCCAGGCTGATGCATGCACTCAGAGAGGGTTCCTGGTGAGCAACTGAGCTGCCCAGGCCTTCGGTTTTGAGGGACTCCAGAATCTGGAAGTCCTTCAAGGGCCTGATGGCAGAGGGAGGTGTCATGGGTGCAAATGTGCCCAACTTGATGAACTTTTTGAGCAGGTGGCCATGTTGTGTGAGGAAATCATCAGGCAGTGTAATATTTAGATTTCAGACAGAGAAATTGATAAGTGATATTTCACAGTGACATGAGCAGACTGACAGCTCTGCCTCGTGTTCCTGAAAAGGAAGAAGCTAAGCTACCTCTCAGCCTTGAGGAGACACAATATTGTGTTCAATGGCTCTAAATCCAGACAGAGATTGGTGATGAATAGTATCCACAGAGGGTCTGTCTTTGAAGCAGTGCTATTCAACATCTTCATCAGTGACCTGGACATGAGATTGACTGCACCCTCAGAAAGTTTGCTAGTGGCACTAAGCTGAGCGGTGTATAGTTGATCTAACAGAAGGAAGGTATTCCATTGAAAGGGACCTGGACAAAATTGAAAAATGGGCCCATGAGAACCTAATGAGATGCAACAGGGCCACATGCAGTCTTTAGCACTTGGGTTGAAGAATCCCGGGTATGTGTAGAGGCTGGGAACATACTGATTGCAACTCTGAGGAAAAGCACTTGGGGTTCTGGTGGATGTAAAGGTCGAAGGAAGCCAGCCATGTGTGCTGGCAGCCCAGATCTATCCTTCACTGCATTAATAGAGGGGTGGCCAAAGGGCGGAGGTGACTGTAGTACTTCATCCAGGTCTGGGGCTCCCAGCACAAGATTTGGAGCTTTTAGAGCAGGTCTAGAGTGGAGCCACAAAGATGACCAGAGGGCTAGAGCACCTCTACTATTAAGACAAGCTGAGAGAGATGGACTGCTTCAGCCAGCAGAAGAAAAGGCTCTGTGGAGTCCTCATTACAGCCTTCCAGTACTTGGTGGGAGCTTATAAGCAGGATGGAGACCCACTTATTACACATTCTGAAAGTAAAAGGACATGACAGAAAGACTTAAAACTAAAGGAGGGGAGATTTAGGTCAGACGTTAGGAGGAAATTTTTTACTCAGAGGGTGGTGAGGCACTGGCACAGACTGCTCAGAGAAGCTGTGGATGCTCCATCCCTGGAGGCACTAAGGCCAGGTTGGATGGGGCCCCGGGCAGCCTGATCTGATGGGAGGCAGCCTTGTCCATGGCAGAGGGGTTGGAATGCCATGGGCATTAAGGTCTCTTCCAACCCATGCCATTCTGTGTTCTATAATATAAAACAGGAATGGAGAAACATGTGAAATGTATGTTGTTAGTTTTACTACTGAAGAAAGAGTGCAAGGAATCAGATTCCTGGCATGCATTGTCCTGAGGTGTCTCTTAGCAAACATATTTCACTTCCTTAAGCTCAAAACGGGAGCAATGATTGCAGTGGAAGCTTCATTTATAGGATTTGTGAGTGGAGAGTAGATTGCTGTCATCTCTTCAACTTTGCTTTTAATTCTACTCCCTAAAGATAAGCCTTCTGCAGACTTCCATTCTTTCCAACTGGGAAAAAGTAATTTTATGTTCCCTCATAATTTGCAGCACGATGTGGAAGGATCCTCTGATTTCTGATTTTCAGTAAGCGTATATAACATTAGTGTGATAAATTTCATATATTAGGACATAAAAACTCTTATAATGTGAAAAAACTGCTAAAGTCTGTAGGAAAAAAAAAAAATAAACCTATAAAACATTTGTGTTAATTCACAAGATGCATTGATTTTAATAGCTGCATCTGCTTTTCATTACAAATACTGACAACAGTGTTGTCATCCGCACCACTCATACAGCTCCACCTACAACTTGTTACCGTTGCTGTATTCCTTTGGCTATTGGTCTGCTTGGCCAGAGTCTTAAATATCACTGATATTCTTCCACTTCCATCTCTTTTGAACATTTTCTCTTATGGCCCTGAGTTGAGGAAGTGATGACATGCTTACTCAGTAAATAATGACAGTTGTTATGTGATGCACAAATAATGGAAATCGATTTCAGGTATATCTCGCTTCTGTTTGGCATGATTTCTAGAGTTGCTAAAGCACTGACTGTATGTGCAATTAATGATAACAAAAGAAAACAGACTTTGAACATTTAGATTAGATTTTAACAGAGATTTCCAATATAAATATACATCCAGTAGTATCTTCTAAAAGTCAGTTGGCTAAGGAAACTATTTAGTACCAATTTGCACCGTACGTGCAAACAAGGATGTTCTCAATTACAATAAGGAAACGTGTAATGACATCGTAATCTTTCATAGTAATCCTTCTCCAAAACAGAGTTTGCTTTGCTTTTTTAATTTAAAACAAACAATCAAAAGAAATAAAAAACACTGCCATACTTTAAGCATTTTCTGTCTTTTTTTCTCAGGTTAGTTAACCCAGCACCCTGTGGGATACTTCTTTACACAGGGCGTCTGGTTCCCTTAGGCTTCCCATGCTGCCTGACCTCTCTCTCTCCAGTGGCAATACTTTCATTTTCCACCTGAACTACAGGTGAGGTTCCTGCTCAGTAAGCTAGCCTTCTGTGCCATCTACTGGACTTACAACATTTTGTTATTTTTCTATTCCTGTGCTCTTAAGAGGTGGTACTGAGCTGAGAACAACAGTGGTGCACCCAACATAGACTGCAATCATAAACGTGAATCGTTAATAATAACAGTGAAAGCTTATATAACACCTCACACCTATTTAACCTACTGATCTTGCCTCCTGCATAGAGGATTAGGAAAAACATTTCAACTCAAGTAGTAAGCAAGAGAATTGTAAGCTGTTTTTTCACAAAATTATGCCTTAACAAAAAATTGTATAAATATTCAGTTTTTTGTAACTGTAATTTGGAAACCTTGATGCAGAAAACTGATTCAAAATCAAACTCCTTCACGATGAAGTGTGCTTTTTGATGACACCAAAAGGCAGAAACAGATACAATTTTTGCCCCACTTCAGGGAAAAGGTGAAAGCAAACAAATAGGCTGCTATGCAAGTGCCTTGTACCTTAATAACAGGTTACTGTGTTCCATATGAAAACAGCAAATTGCCAGTACAAAACACAGAGTTCATAGGCAGCTGCAAGTCCACCATCTGGACTCGTCTTCAGAACAAGTGCACTGTGCACACAACCGACAGTCGTTAGTCATTAAACTTGAGCTGCTGATGGAGACAGGAAGGAGCTCAAGATAGCTTTCCATAGTCCTCTTAAACTGATGGATGGTAGCTGCCACCAAGAGAGTTTGTTACACTACTTCCCTGCAAATGCACCTACCTTCAGCTGCACGTCCCTCTGTCCCTCATCTTGCCCACAAGGATGAGCTTCTCAAGAAAACTGTTTTGATCAAAAATATTCCTGTAGGAAGATCACTGTAGTTCCTTCTTCCTTTGCTCTTGGCCATGTGGTCCTGTGTATCCTCTGTGGTGTTCACTCAGAATTTTGCTCAATTAGTTTAACTCACTAATTAACAGAATATAGCTTTTAATATTCTCCTTCCATGAATATATTCAGGTTGGATCAAATAATTTAAAAGCAATTGCTGAAAGAACCAAAAATGTCATAGCTGGACTTCCCCTTATGACAGCAGAGAACTACTGTACTTATTCCCATTTCTTACTTTAAGATTCCCCAACTGTGAATCCCCAGACTCCCAGTGGAGCTTAAACAATTATAGAGACTTAAAAAAGGCTTAACCCTTCTGAAGGTTAATTCTTCAAGAAGATACAAGCAAGCACATTCACTCATAAGGACAGTTAATTTGTACTGAGTTTATACAAGCAGCACAAATCCTAAGAAAATAGAAATAGCTTTCTTTTCCCTTCTCATCAAAGGGTCCAGGTGAGATGAAATTCAGCTCAGCATTAAGACACTTCAATTAACTAATATAATTTTGTTTCTGCAAAATGTCCATGCTTCTACTCTGGTCTGAAGAGTCCCAACCAACTCTCCTAAAGCAGATGCCAAACCTGACCAGATAGGTAGCTCTTTAGACTGCTGGCCATAGTGGTAACTTACACACACCTGACACAGATATTTACATTCCCTAACCTGTTCTCTTCCACTAAGGATCAATTCAGCTGCCAAATTTATCATCAGTCAGGCTTTCAGATGAAGCAGAATCTACATAAGACCTGTTGCTGTTTTTCCTGGAGTCCCAGAAGTGGCACTGGACTTCTATGTACGGGGAATTGAATCATACCCTGACTGCCTGGGGAGACAAGGATTTAGTCACGTCCAGCTGGATTCCAAAAGCTCCCTCTCTACCCATGTATAGAGAACACAGGCAGTAATAAATGACCAAGGTGCACACTAGAAAACATCCGAGGTATGACATTTTTTATAGACAGACTAGATTGCATTTCTGACATTTCAGAGTTCATTTACTGATAGGTTTAAAGTATAATTGTAAGAAAGTACGGAGGACTGTCAGAACCTGATTTGTGGATTGAATTGTAGGTGTGAATCTCAAACTAATGTGGTTTATTTATCTGCAATCACAGGCTGCGCCAGCCAAAGGTCTGCTGAATTAGTAACACAGTCTGGGCCAGTGCTGGGCACAGCATGTCCTATCTCCTTCTACAAATTTAGGTACGTCGTTCTATTTTTAACTAAATAAATATCAGTAAGTGAAAACACCAATGCCAGCAGGTATAGCTTGTGTTCAAAGGAAGGCTGTATTCTTCTTGACTCAGGAAGAAATACTCGATTTCTCCTAGCAGAATCTCTGTTCTCCACAATCACTGAATTATCTGCAATAAAACACATTCTGTCAGGACAGATCAAAGACAATACATTTATTAAACTTTGAGGAAAACAAACAAAACACTGACATAAGGAAAGTTAAATAGAAACTGAAAGACACATCTTCTGACCGGCGAATAATGGCTTGTGTGACCAGTAAAGTACCAAAACAACATTCTGAGTTTGATTGAGGTATTTAACTATTTTTTGCAATAGAAACAGAGTAAGAAACTTCTTCCGAACACACATAGGCTTTACTTGCATTAGTGTCTATCATCTATGAAATTTTATATGAAACTAAATAATGTAGCTGTTAGAAAAATATAGCAGCAAATTAGCAGAATACCTAATGCACATTTACCATAAGTACGTTCTAAACGTAAAAATCCCACCCAATAGTTGGGCTCAGTCCTGTAGCCCTTGGTCACAAAGAGAGCATCAGTGAGTTCAGTGGGAGACATCATGAGCAAGATCTGCATTCACGGCACGTCATACACTTGTGTTCATGTCAGAGAAAGGCAATGAACATCCCCATTTGCTTTATCAGAAGAACCCTGCTGTGATGGAGCTATAGTCTAGTAAGGTATCTTCTGAAGCAATAAAAACTCATTGCAAAGCTCTGTCAAGTTCTTTATATACTTAAAAATAAAGAGAACTTTCCCACTTGGTTTTGGTTTTCTCATAACTTTTCTTTCCTAAGTCTGCCTAGCGCAGTCAGAGGAGATACTGTAGGCAAAGAGGACAAATCCTTTTTAACAACACTGTATTAAATTCCTGTGTTCCACTGAAGACTTTAAATCTATTTATAGCTTAAAAAATCAACCGCTGGCCAAATCCTGAAGTCCTTATTTTCTTAATCAATACTTCATGTGTTAGTCTAATAACTGCTGTGGTAGCTTTGTCCATCGGAGGGCTTCAGAAGTTGGTCAAATATGAAAAGATTATGCTACTAAATCACCAGAGCTTATTCATGTGTTTTCACAAATTTTCAGTGAAAGTGTACTTCCATACTCCTTAATACTGTGGTCACTGAAATCTTGCTTTAAAAAAGTATATTATCATTAACCAGAATTTGATGAATAACAGAAATTTTTGTCCAAATATTTTGTATAGTTTAAAGTTTTCTACAAAAACTTTAAATTTCATGTCTATTTCTATACTAGTTACCATAAGAAAGCAATAGGATCAATCACTCTAAGCTCCTAAAATATTTCAAAATTTCTCAACAGATTTCTTTAGAGGTATAAAATGGCTCTGTAAAATCTATCTTTAATTTTTGCTGCAAACAAAACTTTTATGAAACAGAAAACTTTTTTTCAAGACTGCAGCTCTTACATTCCTTGGATGGGCCATTGTAATTAAACTACATCATGTAGTGTAATATAAAACATCTACGCTTTTGTGCCTGAAGTATTAAAATATATTTTATTAATTTATATGGATCAAAATAGATGCTTTTTTCAAACTACTTCTGTGGATTTTTTCACCCTCATGCTCAGTTCCCAATTATTGATAGAAAGATCTCTGTCAACTGCACGATTTTACTAAATTCTCAGATTTTAGACCACCTGATTTTTAGCTTTACAAAAAGCGTGATTTACTGTACATTAAACATAGTCATTTCAATGTTTAGTATCACAAAAATCAACACCCACAAGAACAAGACAGTCACGGCTAGTTAAGCAGTCTCAAGACAAATTCATAGATAATATTTACAGAACAAGAGGAATATTATGATGAATATTTTATGCTTCAACATTTGAGATAAACTTTTAAGAACCACAACAAATGTTTAGACTTCATTTTGGTTTCAGCACAAAAGCCCAAGCTGACCCTCTGCTGTGAAATACTGCACACATCTAGTCAAAGAATTGCTACGGCATGATTTTGTTCAGCTGGTCTGTGCTCACATAGCCGCAAGACATGTTAAATTCTTTCTCTGGCACAGGCAGTGCAGTTGCATTGAGCACAAGGCCTTGTGGAGAGTGAACTATATGAATAGAAGTGTAGTCTGGGACAGGCATTTCCATACTTGGGGTTTCTGCCATTGAAGCTCCAAGACTGATACCAGTAGTGGTAAGGCTTTCTGTGGTGAAGTAAGTGTCCTCATTACAGCTTTGCTCCTGAACACGTGACTCATCCTCTTCCTGGGAAATCACAGCAATACATTTTTTCACATCTGCCTCGCAGAAATAGGCATTGTCCATGGTGAAGTTTTGTTCTGTGCAGCCTTCGCATTGCGCTCTCCCCACCTTGGATTTCTGCCCTGGAGAAAGTACAACACTTCCAGCTGGAGTAATATCACTCACTTGAGCATAGAAGTCAGTGTTTGTCAGAGAATTCTGGTTACTTAGCTGAGTTTGGACTGATGGACTAGCTGAGTCAGTGCTCTCTGCAAAAGGAGGCCATGACTCTCTGCTTTCAGACTGAGTACTAGTAGGTGGCTGTTGGGTATCTGTGTTGGCAAGACTTCGAAGTGCCTCATCATCATCTTTCCTATGAAGGCACAAGAGATCCCCTTCCTTTTCTGTTACCTTCTTGAACTGATCAATGTCAGAGATGGCATCACATGTGTCACTTGCACTGAAGTCTGTCTCTGGAATATCTGGTTCACAACAACTGGCACGTCCAGAATCATCATCCTTTGCTCCCAAGCAACTGTGTGATTTCAGATGATCATCACTCAGGAGCCTGTCAGTATCTGAGACTCTGTTCTTTTCATCGGAGTCATCTATGTCTAATTCAATAAACTCAACCCACAAGTCATCATTGTATAGCTGTGTCTTGTAGTTGTCATGGCTGGCTAAGATGGAGTTCACTTCATCTAGCTTTCCTTTCTATAAAACAAGAAAAAACAGATGTATAAGAAAGAATAAAAATATTTGTGCTTCTAATAATGCAAACTTACGGAAAGCTAACTGGAGCTGATATAATAATTACAAGAAGGTTTTTTTTGTTGTTTTCATATTTTATGAAAAGTTGTTCTATTGCATCTCCCCACACATTGCTAGAAGATGTAATTTCTTCATAGAAAATTGTTCTGTCTTTGATAGCAGTTGTAGCCTGCCACTACTACAGTGATTCCTACTATACATATCAGAATGCAACATTACCTTCAAGAGATCTGGGTCAATCCCTTTAATCTTTGGAACTGGTACAGGAGGAAAAATCAGCATTTTTAGCCTGGAAAAAAATAAATGATTGTTTTTAATTTACAGCAGTCCTTTTTGAGGAGGCTACAAAAAAGAAAGCTTTATATCGCACTTAGACTTCTTTGCTTCAAAATTGAAATGTTTGAAGATTCAGCTTAAAATTGTGCTAAGGAAAAGAATATTTTTTTCACACATTTCAAACTAAAGCAAAACAAAACAAACCCCAGTTTTTTGTAGCCTGCCTTGTTGGAATCACGTAAATTTATGCTGAAGTCCACTCTGACTCCATTCAATTATTTTAATGCTTTATATAAGGAGAATAAACTCCTAGAGCATTGCCAATTGTTTCCCTTTTTATGTTTTCCCAAAGGTTTTTTTTTTTTTTTTTTTTTTTTTTAAGGGATAAAGTAGTTCTTGCATGAGCCCAATTAATTTAAACAGGGGAACAGAAAAATAAAGTTGGCTAGGCCAGTATTCTGTTGTCTGCAAGACTGTTGTTGATGCAAAAATTAATATATAATAAGAAGGTTTTATCATTGTTGAGAAAGAACTTGCTTAAATGTGTTCATGCTGCCAAGACATTATTTCAATCCTTCATAAAATGGATTTAAAATTCTCCGAGAAAATAACTAATAATTAGCTATGGCCCTCCTCCATTTTACCTCTCTGTTTCTTTTACAAACACATAAATTGTAATCCCCAAAGGAAAATTCAGCATTTTCTTTATACTGGATTACTTCTCTATTTTAGAAGGTAAATCTGAGTCCACAAATCAGATATTCTGACAGGATTGGGAACTAATCCATCTAATGACACAGCCCAAGGATTTAACCACTCACGGACTCAAGAAACAGTTCAGGAAGCATCTTTATTAGCTTCAGATAACTGTAACCTGTGTGTCTCAAGGCTTGATCCTATGGCATCTGTCCTAAGGAGCCTGGTTCAGAATTTGTGAAACAAAAGTTGAAAAAGAAATGAATTGGGATCTTTTTAGATACAGGAAAAAATGGATCCTGGGTATTTTGAATTATTGAAAATCTAAGAAGTCCATTTCCCTGCAAGAATTGCTGTCACTCTGACCACCACATGTACCACTTTGAAGGGTGGAGGCCCATCGGTCCAGAAATGTGTGACAGACACATGCTGGATAAATGCCTCCTTCAGCAACCATTATGAGCACCGAATGAGCTGTGATTAGAGTCATGCTTCAGCCCTTGGGATTTTTTGAGAATAAGTTACTCCTTGCTGAGTGTGCTGAACAGTAAGCTCCTGGTCCCACACGTGACATCTCGTACCCATCTGACACACAGAGCTTCTGCTCTTGCAGAGAGTGGCCTCTTGGAAGTAAAGCACTACTAAAATGCAGTGTTGCTTGTTTAACCTATTTTTTCAGTGGTAGCTCCAGCTGGACCATCATGTTTTAATTTCAGTGACTTGTACTTACCTGGTATGTAAAATATCTCAAAATATCTCAGTGTTAATTTTCAATGCGTACATATAAGCTTACTGACAATATGTATGTGTGCACTGGGGCTAGACCACAGCGTTGCTCTAAAGTGAATTAATTCTGTCAAAATCTGTCCCTGAACACATATTTCAGGGAATGAATTTGCTGTGAGACCACTATCTCGTTCTTATAAATGTGTCATTGTGACATTTTTATGAATGACACAATCCTGAGTTTTGTTTTATTTTATCCCTGTTATTTATAGGAGGCACAGTCTATCCACAGATGCCAAATACCACCCCATGACTCAAGCTCTTGCTGGGGCTCAGTGAAGTAGCCAGAGAATACTGGAATAGCCTTAGAACAAAGCCAAATATATAATTTGAGTGAAACTTCTGAGCAGAAGTGTGTAAAAAATACTGTTCACAGAATCTGAATGAACTAAAAATACACCAATTGCCTTCAAAGTCTACGTACACTAAGTAAATACTATATTATAAAGCGCTCTGCAATCCAAGACTCCTGCTCAAAGCCCTGTATGCACATGTGCCAGCATCCATGTAGCCTGAGCAGGTGGACAGTGATCATCAAAATAGTGTCTGGCCCCTAGTTGAAGCACCCTTTTCTTAAACTACAAATAAATGAAATATGACAGATAAACCTCTGTACCTTGGCTGTTTAGACAGCAGGATTAAGATCGCTGTTATGGCCAGCCCACACACTCCGAAGGCAACTACTAAGAACCAGGGAAACTCGATTTCTGGAAACAGAGAACAGAAACATTAGCAAGAATCTGAATCCCTGTTGCATGTTCAACTTACACCTTCTCTGCAGTCACCTGAGAATTCCAAAGTCAGAAAAGCTGATAGGAACATTTTTGGTTAGATAAACGTGAAAGTTCTGTAGCAAGGAGAAATAAAAACATTCTGATATCAATAGTTTCCATGCTGCATTTGTGAGTCCACTGAGACTGCTTGCAAAAAGAGTCTGAACTTTTTGACATGAGCAAGATCATAGCACAGGCAATATATACAGCAAAAGCAGACTGGAGGAAAATTCTGTCAGCTGGGAGCATGCTACCAAGTAGACCCCTTTGTAGTTCATGTTACTGCTTCTGTTAGCCCAAGCAGAGAGGACCTTATTAACAGTGTGTAGCTCTGCTAAATCATGGGCACTACAGTGGCATCAAAAAGGATGATGCCACTTTTTCTGAAGGCAGAACATTATGTTGTGAGCTGTACCAATTGCCAAAAAAAAAAAAAAAAAAAGTTTTTGACCTTGCAGGCAGCTACATAGAATTTCAGGCCTGATAAAAGTGATTTGGCAGGGATGAGGAACAATGCTGATAAATGAAATGTTTTATCTTCTAAAAAACATCAATTGCTTACTGTAATGCTAATTCTGAATTGTAAATTCAGTGGTATTTAACCTGACACTGTAAAGTACAAACTATAGAGAAATTTATTCTGGCTGTAGCCTAAGATTCTTCTCACTTGTTCCCAATTTTAAATTTTATGTTCAAACTTCACTTTCAGGGTCAAAAAATACTGGGCAGGAAGCTTTAGAATTCTATACCATGTAGAGTGTCCTATACACAAATTTATGGCCTTCTAGGAAAGAGAAGTTTTCAGTTTCAGACATCTGCTCCCAGCTTAAGTCGTTAACTTTATATTTTCAAACACGACTACTTGAAGTTCTATATGGTTATTTCTCTGTTAGTCAGGACCCTGTTCTAATGTAGAACCAGTAACTTCTAACATCAGTGAGACCAGAGTCCAGCTGCTTAAAAAAATTAGAATACTACATGTGAATTTACTACATGTGAATTTAAGCGCTTCACACCAAAAATGTCAAGTATGCATTCCTACAGGTGAAACACAAAACAAGGAACATAATATTCTGTCATTCTATACTTCCTCAGTTTTCCTCTGTGAACTTCCAGCCTGTGTCACAATCTAGCAATTCTGCAGATGGAGGAGAACTGACCTTCAAATAATTCGTTACTGCTCTATGACAGGTACAGATATGAGTCCACTTGCAGATTGTGGGTTTGTAGTGAATGAAGCAAACTGCTTGGCCTTGGATTTTCATGGTATTTTTTGTTCATATGCAGACACACACAGTGCAGACTAACTTGTGTTAACAAAATCACATGGACAGAACACTAGCTAAACTAGGTAATACAAGCTGCTAAAAAGGAGATTCTGGCAAGACTGTGAAAGACAACAGTTATAGGTTGGTTGTATTTCCATTGATGCTTCACAAAATGAAGTTAAGTGGTTTGTTAAGATAATTTACTGCAGAGTTCATCTCGTGAAAAGTTTAGAAAAAGGCACTGTCTCATTCTTCTGATAGAAAAAATGCAGTGCCCAGTGATTGCTGCTTCTGTTTTTAACGGCAGTTTTAAAACAAGTGCAAACACAAAAGAAATAGAAAAAACCGTCCTTGGTTGTATCAGGGAGATCAGGAAAGCACAGCATTCTGATAACAGACTTAGAAAACAGTGTAACAATTTGATAGAAACCACAGCTCTCGCTTCACTGCTGGAATGCTCTCCTTGCACAGTGGAGGTTGAGGTTTATCTGTCTCCATTTTAGGCTGTATAGCATGTGTAGGAGCAGATACTATTTCTGATCCTCAAAGCTACCTGTACTTTTGCACTCTAGTGAACTGAGAAACAGTTGTTGAATTTAATTCCGAACCTGTGTGCAACTTGCATGCTCTTAATCTCACCAAATGACTTGCATGTGGTAGGCTAACTTATCAACCCATTCAAGCATACAACATCAAAAGAATGGAGAAAAAAGCAAAAAGATGGCAATGGTTATAAGAACATTTTGATGCATTTATCTTATTTACCTTCAACACAATGAACAAATTCAATGCCTGCTTGAGTAAAGGAAACATAGAGGATTTCGCTGAACTCCCCAAACTTTTCGGAGGTACGCTGTCTGGATCGGACTCGAACCTCATAATCTCGTCCCATCTTCAGAGAATACAGTGGAACCACTGTTGAGAGCCTGGGTTCTAACTGCAAAGACAGAAAGGCTGTGATATATTTGAGAGAGCTGTACAATTTTACACTGCTTCTTGGTTTCAGAAATTAACATTCAAAGGTATTTTTTCTGCTTGGAACATTAAGGACACAATGAGGAGAGTTCAGAGAGAAGTCACACCATTTACTTCAGACTTACCAGCTAGACACTGGACTTTCAGGAGGTGAAAAGCTAAGAATCAAAACTCTCTAAATACTCTGTGAAGAAAGGCAGCTGTGACTAACTCCGCTGATTTTACCTAGCTGTAGATTCTTGCTACTGTTAAGATACAACCTTATTGACACCACAATGCTAAAAAACTTGCTAAAATAACATGGGACCCTTAAAATAACTGTGATTCCCCCTGAATAATTAATTTTATGAAGAAAAGTGATTTACAGGCTTAAAAAACCAATTTATTGCATCTAACAAATCTAATTATTTTGCAAAGGTTGCACAGTTCTCAAAATCTTCAAGGATATATAAAATGAGAAAATGCAAAAAGAGTCTGGTAGAGCTGGCATCACATTGTAGGCCTTGAGATGCCTGCATTAGTTGCAACATTCTTGCTGCTGTGTATCAAACAATGTAGGAAATCCTACTGGAGGTCTTAATACACAGGATCGCCATTCTTTACCCCTACTCCTCGTATAAAAACATGCATTTTAGCTCTGACTTTATAGTAGGAGTACAGAAAGTACAGAAAATCTAGAAAAATAAGGAAAATATGCACAAAATAGAAATTCATGTGGCAGATAATATATTCTATATTTACTTCAGTAAATTTACCTCTGTGAGGGTAAGAATTAAAACACTACTTCTGTGGGGGTAAGAAGAAAAACAACAGCCACTGCAAACTTCAAAAAAGCATCATCAATACCTTCCAAATATCATCACTGCTGCACAATCTACACTCAAAACACATTCTGTTGTTAGACATGATTTGTGGAGTACTGTCATCCTTGATGCCTCTAGATGCAAGTGTTCCCAGAGATGACCAGTCAGATTTTGGATGAGGAAGTGATGAGCACAGATAGATTACTTTTTTTCTGCTAATAATGGATGACAACCCAACTGGAAAGCATGGAGAAGGGAATATGATACTATTCTACTTTACTTATTTTCTGCAAAGAAGCCATAGAAAATAGCACACTCAATTTCACTGTAGATAAATTATTTTTTTCTGGAACACTTAATACAGATTCTTGAGAAAGGGATGCTGCCCACACTAAACTTTATGTACCCCAGATAATAGCAGCAGTTGGAAAAGGCAGCATGCAAGCCAGCACAAAGAGCTGAAGAACATCAAGTAGAATTACTGTGGCTGTGTAACTGATGTGACCTGAAATTGCAAGACAGGTAAATGAAAAATTGAATAGTGTATGAGAAAAAGCAATCAGGTTAATCCCGAAACCTATACAAAAATTGCAAGGCTCAGCAAAGAGAATTTAATAGAATTTAAGCATGGAAAATTCTTTCCAATGTTACTTTCTTGTATCAGAGTTATCCATCATTATGATGTATCTGTGCACTCCGAGATTATCTTCTGTGTACAAAACTAGTAATTTAATCAAAGCATAAGTGGACATCCCTTCCTTTACTGTTTCAACACTCATTTTAGAAGGTATTTGTAGGAAAGAATGCACTGCTACTCCCCTGCGGTCAGTAGGAATTTTGCTATTCAGGTCAAGATTTTGTTCAGAAATTTGGCTTTTGTATTCCAATTAATAGGGGCTCAATGCCATGTTTATGGTTTTAAAACGAAAGGTGCAGTAACACACAATAAATACAGCTCCAGTGCATAAACCCTTTTTTCTTTAGGCAAATACAGTATTCAGGAGTATCTGTTTTCTGCAAGAACAAACACTGAACTTCAAGCTTTGCTGTCCTGGGGAGAATCAATCCCAAGGCATACTGGAATTACTAACGGTACTGGAGCAAGAACAAAGGTTTAGAAGGAGATTCATATGATTGACACCTTAAGGATTATAAAAAAAAATACAAATTGCATTTTTAAAGAGGTTTCTGTATTGCCACCTGCTTTTGTAAACCTTTTAAGAAGTTGGCAGATTTTCACGTTAAGAATTTATGGCAAAAGTTAGTCTAAGTCATTTAAAATGTAAAGATAATACAGAATACATAGCTTAGACAAATATAGAAATAAATTCAGGCAAGTATTTGAAAAAAGTTACAGACAATATAAGGCCTGTTGGTCTTTATTCTTACCAACAAGGGGACACAGAAAAACATAATATTAAGAAGGATCAGAGGAGAGAAGGAGCCCAATAGTCTTAGCTATGTTTCAGCTGGTAAACCTGCCTTTTGGAGATTAAGACAAATTCTCAGCAGTATTACCTGCTTTCCTTCTGTCATTTATCTCAATTCATTCTAGTAAGAGAATAAAGTAAGAGTTGTGCTCTGAGAAGACAGTACGTTGGTCAGGTATTCAGAAAAAAGTCTACACATGCAATTATTCTGTGTAGAATCCTGGCAGTAGGTCTTTATATACATTCAGGTAAGCTGGGTAGAATTATTTCCCCCATAACAGGAAAACTCCGTGAAAAGTTAGTGATTTTTAGAATAAAATGGAAAAGATTCAAGAAGTAAACACCTCATGCTTTCATGGACTACCTATACATTCACAAATTATACATTTCTGTCTTGTTTGAAATTGATATGTTTTACCAATGCCTTGATTTTATTAGCTTATTGATCCAATTTTAAACCATAATTCAATCTTTTAAAAAATGCATTAAAACAATATTTAAAACTATTAGAACACTGAAGAATCTGGACAGACATAATGACATTTTCCAAATACAAGATTCCTGTTCCACGTACTGAAAATACTGTGTACTTTCTTAAATAGCTGAGGCTTAGGAAAAACAACAGAGAAACATTTTATCCTTGAAAACCTTTATATATTTGATTATTGCTACACTTTGTAATATAACACATAAGGGATTTCAGGGTTTCATTATCTTACTTGTATGCCAGCTATCTTGATACATAAAGTTAAAATGTCTGCCAGAAAATTTCATAAGAATATGTGTTTATTGTTTAAAATTTAAGGCATCATCTAATTAGCATTCACAATACTGTAGCTTTCCAAAATGGGACAAATGGGGTAGGGACAGGACAAGCCTGCACTGGACTATGACTACTGCATAGTAAGTATTTCCTCCATACCTCCTTCCATTTTGTCTCATTAACTTCTTTGTACTGCAATTCATACTCCAGAGTAATCCATCCTTTCTGAACATCTGCTGTTGGTGGTGGATCCCATCGTACTTGAATATCCCCATGGATCCCAGTTTGACTAGTATTTAGCAGAGTCCAGTTAAGATGCACAGGGGGATCAGGTAGTACTGTTTAAACAGAGTAAACCAGTTTTCAAATCAAAATGACCATTCTTACTATACACAGCTACATTATTTCAATACTAAAAAAAGCACATTAACTGCACATTTGCTGATTAAAATCTGAACCTACGAGTGTCAATGACAAAATCACTAGATGTCTGGAGACAAGAAGGTAGCTAGCCACCAACAGCAGACGTGCTCTGCATAAATCTCACCCGAATAGTTAATAAAGAAGACTAAGGATGTATTACCTATTTAATGATGATTTCCAAGAGTGGCTTATAAAACACTGAGACTAAACAACTCTCCATCAGAATTTACAGTGAGTTCTTTTGACAAATAAAACAGTAATTGAAGTCACACAGAATACAAATATTTGGTAACAACCTCTGAAATAATTTAGAAATACACTGAAAATCAGTATCTGAAAAGTAATTCTGATGTTGCTCAGCTGAACAAAAGGGCACAGTGGGTACGCTCTAGTCACTTGTGGGAATACAGTCTTAACTGCATGTGCGTACACCATTGATATGCACCAGCAAAAATGTCTGGAAATCCCAGTCACAATTCATACTGCACTAAATATAAGATCTAACCTAGAAATGCTAAACATCCTGACTCTGCAGATGTTTTGATTCGGGAATAAAAATCTATTTGGTTCAGGAACAAAAATCTGTTGGGCTCCAGAATCTTGCAGAATCAAGACGTTAGCACCATCCTTGATCACAGTGACCAGAGGTATACAGCATTCCCTAGAAAGGAATCAGAGTGACAGCAAAGGTAAACACTGACGCACATACTTGAGAGCACTGGTATTCGTAAAGTAAAATGACATATTTGCTTTCATCCTTTTGGATTGCTCTCAACAGTGGCAATATTACCTAGATGTAGATCACTTTACATATTTTATAAATTCAAATTGCCTCCTATATATATTATTTTTTAGAAACTGTTCTCAGGGGGAGAATTCAAATATAGTATGAAAGCTTACAGAATCACACCTATTGCACTAAAAAACTACAGGGATAAAATGCATAATGGAAGGGTACCTATTTCATCAACACTGAAACATTTTTCATCGAATACTTCATCTTTATTGGCAAGCTTAACACAATACGGTATCCAAATCGAGGTGTAGGATGTGTTGAAGTAACAGCTATTTTCTCCTGCAGTGATATAATCAGGGCATTCTTTCCAGTCTTCATCATTCCTAGAATGACAACAAGATTATGAGATACGTGAGAGAGAGATTTACGGATTTTACAAAGTATAAATTGCAGATGTTAGAAGACGTGCAGTTGATAAGTCATATCTCCTACAGAAGTAAGAAAATGTGTCAGTATTTCCTGTGATTTACAATGGAGTCAAACCACTATTCAGCCAACCTACATAAATATTTCATGTACTGCTAGTGGCATTTCTATGCGTTGGATGGCATTTCTGAAAGAACAGTCAAAGAGTCATTTAACATGCATTTACGTTACTGTTCTTCAGGCAAAATTAATTGCAATAACTTGAAAGTCAGACTGCAAGGCAGATCAGCGCTGCACCACTTGCAAAACTATGGGCAGTGGACTTCCACTGATGACCACAATGGGAATGTAGGCACTGGGACACCTAATACTCACATGGGAAAGTGTCTGAGGGCAAATGCTGACACAAAACAATCCATATCAGCAAGATGCGAAAGAAAAGAGAAGAAATACAGAGAAAAAGCTATCTTACTTGGGATAAAGAACTTCTAAAACGCTGGAAGTACTAGCAATAAAACTACCTTTTTCCACTCTTTTGTTCAAACATTTATGAATGCACTTTGTAAACAAAAGAACTGTAGTAGGAGATGTCTCAGGCTTTTGTATGTTTCGTTTAATCTCTTAATAAGAAGAGAAACTAGCAGATATGAAGTGATGTGAATTCCCAGACTAAGAGTTGTTATGTATTTTGTAGTGTCAGTCTCGTAAGACCAAGCTGAAATGAACCAGAAGGTCCAAACTATAGAAATCCTTCAGTTAAAGCAAAATGAGAACAACCAGTTTACTAGAAATATTCTACAACAAAAGTGAAAGATTTTTATGCATTGCTTCTGAAATATCTCAGAGTGAACAGATGCCATTCCTGATCTTTCTCTCAACTACCTCTCAGCCCAAATACAGACTGAATAGGGAACTTTTCATAAATTACAGTCTCAGTTTGTTAAAGGTGTAATGTAAATGCTCTTCCTTACTAAGAGTTGTTCATACTGTACAGAAGGTTTAGACTTAAACAATTATTCCAATTGCATCCCTCAATGCTGGAGTGGGTTTTTAAGATGTAAAAAAGACAGATGATGCATAAGCGGAAGGGAAGCGTTTGTGCCACTAGGCAAGAGCCTTGTGCTTAGCTGATGAGACCAGACACTTCTCTAAAGGAAATGCTGTAGCTCTGCCAAAGCCAGGACTTGATAAAGGTCAGACACTTCAGATGTTATGGCTCATGTTAAGCTCATGTTAAGTTACTTGATATAGTTCAATCCTGAGCCTTAAATATTGCTTGCACATCGACACAGAAATACTTCTAATATGATTTTTCAGTTCACATCTTTTATTGTAGAATATTAATTTTTGAGGCAATACATGAAATACATATCTTTTCAACATATGTGGAACTGAGTTTAATTTTTTAAAGTTTGCACCATCTTTGTGCACACCATTGATGCTGTCAGCTCAACATTTACACTTTAGCAATGTTTTTGATTTGGATGCCTGTATTTCTAGGTCTTAGAAAGGCAAGGAAGAAAACAAGCCTTGCTGTTAAGCTTGTTTCCTGAGCAAATTTATTATCATGTACAGGAAGTTTCTGTAAATCAGAAAGGTTGAAAACCAGTACATTAGATGGGAGAGAATCACACATCCTTCTGTTCCTGTGAGTAAAAAGGCTTTTGTTTCCCAATTAGCCATTACTGGTAATGAGTATGTCCTTTTTCTGATTAATCATTTTAGCAAGCAGAAATTTACAAAAACTTCAGTGGAATGTAAAACTGAACTACACAGAAATCTGTGAAACATAATCCCCAGTCTCAGAGCATGGTTTTTAGGAAGACCTGCACACTCAGACTTTAGTTTAGCAGATGGCCAATGAGGGTTTTATACAACTTTAATAAAAACTGAAAAGAGCTTGTATACAAATTCTTCTTCAATACACAGACATAACGAATATCACAGCTACATGTTAAATTGTTAGGAAGCAAACTGAGGTTCCCTATTAGAAACTCCGTTCCCAACACATACAGAGTTCAATTTCAGATTCTGAAACCAAGACCTACCTTTGGTAAGAATGTTTTCTTACTTAATTCCCATGTAAAGTTCATGATTGCAAAAAATTTGATAATTAAAAAATAAATTCAAAAATACGCACTTAAGACACAGCTTTGTGCCCTTCAATACATTATTGTTTGTATTATAGTGAAAAATTAGCAACAATGAGTTAACAGGCAGACATGAGGTCTGCTCTGAAAGTAATGTCTCATTATGTTGCCCCAGGACACCAGGGATGGATGTAGGGGTATGGTAGCAGAGGCTGAACCTTCCCACCAGTATCCCACATGTTTTGTTGCTGTGTGACCATCGGCAGCAGAGTGGCAGTCTGACACAATGGCATCTGACATGAAAGTGCGTGTGAAGAAAAGGTGTGACACTGAATTCCTCCCCTGGAAAAAAATGGCACCCACTGACATTCACTGATGCTTGCTGAATGTTTGTATAGACCAAACAGTGGATGTGAGCGCAGCAAGGTGGTGGGCTGTGTGTTTCAGCAGTGGCAACAGCAGCAGTGTTCTTCTAGGCTGGTGCAGATTTTTATGAGTGCAGCATACATGTTCTTGCTCACTGCTTGCAAAATTGCAGAGCTAACAGTGATGACTATGTTGAAAAGGACTGTTGTGTAGCTGCAAATTTGCTTCACCAAATAGCATTACTGCACTTTTTGTAGCTGCTGTAGTTTCCAGGCAAATAAGTAGGAGGCATTACTTTTGGAGCAATCTGCGTATAAGTAGGTTAGAATAAGAATGAATTCCCATTCTTTTCCTCCCTCTTCCACTGTTTTCATATACAACATACACCTTTTCATACCTTTTCATATACAACAGTTGTATTGTTCCTGAAGTAGTGAGGTTTCCATCAGTCCAATAACATGAAAATGTCTCCAGCTCAGGTGATCTGCACTTGCTGATTTGTGGCCACTGCAGAAGATCTATCAAGGAAAATGGCAGAAGACAGAATCGGATAAATCAAAGGAATCCATAAACTGGACCAATATGCTGTTAAAATGAAGCACAGGACTTTTTATACATAATTAGCTTTCCTTCTGATTTATGAGCAATGAGGCAAGCTATAAATTCTGCTTACATGCAGATATCTAGATGTCTACATCTGTGAAAGGCCAAATTTCAAAGATGGATCCAGCTTCCTTTTGTGAGAATGGAGATGTTAGTGCCATGGTCTGCTACCCAGAGTGGAGGTATGCCAATGCTAGAGCTGTAGTTCAGTATAGATACACCTGCATTAGTCCTGCCCTTCTAAAGAAAAGCTCTGTTTTAAGGGAAGTGTGGTACTGCAGAGCTCGGTGCTAGACTAACCAAAGCACTAGATTTGCTCAGCTGAGCAGTTTAGCAGTGTGACAGGGCCTGTATTGCTACCATTAGAGTTGCCACCTTGAACTGAGTTCAGGTTTGTGTATTTCTCATTGTGCAGTTATAGCCTTAGTCTGACAGAGATGAGGACAGCTCACAAGCATATGCCTGTTCTACCACATGCTGCTTCAATATTCATAATTTCCATTATTTTTCAAAGCTGAAATTATGCAGATCCAAGAAACGACTGGTACAATTGCTCAGCCTTGTCAGCCTTATGAGAAAAATACAAACAAAAGTTGTGCATACGATTCATTGCTTTCAAAGTAAGCATATAACTTCTTCCTAATTTTTAAGGGTCTAATCAAGCAGTCATTCCAAAATGCCACCATTTCCTACTTGGCCTAGGAAGCTTTCCAGAAAGGGATCACAGCAAATGGAATTGCTTATCTGTCTTCACTATCTGTGAAATACAATCATCTGTCAAAGAAAATTTCTCCATTACGCACCCAAAATTTGGACATTATCAGGTGTTTATGACTGATGAAATGATCCCTGGCCATGAACAACACAATACTACTGGATTCCAGCTGCAAAGCCTTTCACAAGTATTTTTGCAGCACTGCAACTGAAAATACTTGGTGAAACTTAGTTAAACTCAAATTTTGAAAAAAGTATTAAGGTACAGACACCACAAGCATCAGATGTTTCTTCCTACGCACGGGCATTCTGTGACCCTCCTGTCTGCTGACTGCTTTATTTACAGTCGAGACAGAAACGCTTACAGAACACCAAAGTAATTTGTATTTCTTAGGCTTACTGGTTCAAGTTGTGTCCTCTCCTCTACATTCTGCAATGACAAGCACTGACATAAGCAGTAACTAATACATGAATATTAGATGTTTTTCTGTTTTGGTCACTATGCAGTATTGCCTCATTTTACACTTTGGACATTGAACAAGGACTGAACACCTTTGTGTAAATAAGAGGTTTGATAAGCTTTGTGGCCTATGCCCCCACCAAATATTTTAAATTCTTCTTACCAGCCTAAAATAACTGCTTTTCTAATGACAAAGATTTAAACAGCACATTCCATTTTTCTGAACTTCAAAGAAATTTCATTTTTTAAATTGAAACACATTTTCAAATGAAATGTTGCAGCAAAAGGAAAGAAGTCAAACTGTTCTTTTTCAGAAAATGCTGAAATGAAATATTTTGGCTATGGGACTTGGTTTTGTTATGGTATTCAGTAGTTGGTGGCTTCTGCCTAAATCCCAACACGGTTTTGGTTGACCTTGACCTGAATTTATAGAAAACTTTGCATCATTCACCAAACAATTCTCATCTGGCAGAAAGCATCATTAACACATGACTGTAACACTGTAAACTACTATAACATAGATTGAAAACAAAACAGAATAAAAGATTCAAGTGTATTATATATGTAATTTTTATGTGTATCATAGTTTCCTCTTTCAAGCTTGAACTTTCTTTTAATTTAATTATTAAAACTCATTTAATTATTTAAAAACAAAGCAAAGAAAAATAAAATTTTGTGCCTCTACTTCAAGGACATGAGCAAAATTGCCTCATTCGCAGGATACCTATAATCAGCACGACTCAGGTCTCTCTCTTCTTCTATAACTGAGTGTGGTAATGAAGGACATGCTATAGTTTTTCCTGTTTCTATCCTCAGCTATGTGAATCAAGAACAAATATAGCTAGTTTCACTGAAACAGTTGTAAGAATATAAGAAAATGATATACTGGAAAACCCTCCTAAGTTAGGATATTTCTGTTGATGCCTGCGCTGTATTTAAGGCTGGGACATACCATATTTAAAGCTCGCACAGACCATGTCCTCATCTCCAGGGGTAGAAGTCACACAGTCACTTCTTTACATGGCCAAAGGAATTGAATGGAATAAAACTTCACCACTTTATACGGAAAATAAATTAAGGACTATGAGACATACAAACTGTTCTAGAAAAACTGATAAGAACGCAGCCAGAAGTGCGATCAGTTACGATGGAGAGATCAGCAATGCACACAGAATGCTGATTAAGATGTGTTGACTTACACTCTAGCTTGAGAGGAATGCATTCCTAAGACCCCATTTTCTTCTCTTCTCCCTTACGACAGGACTCACTATTTCACCACACAGGTGTTCCTTGAACTTGCTTGAGAATTTCTCTGCATGGAACAGATTTATCTGGGATACATATACTCTTGGTTTTTACCGATTTGCAATTCATATTTTTACTTTTTTAATGACCAGATCAATTTCTAACAAAAATTGTTATCTAATCAGTTGTTTCCAGATTCTGTGTCAGGATTCCAGCCTTCAAAACCACAGGCTTTTGTGCCTGACGGGAGGAAACCTTGTCATGCTGACTTGTAGAATGCTTGGCACTCTTGGGGTGCATCTTCTCAACTTCTTGTTTGCTACAGGAGGTAATTATCGACATTGTACAGGACCCTGTGTGAGCTCTATCGCCCGGACAAACCGTACCAGACCCTGATAAATGAATACAATAGCTCAGTTGAATGCATTTAGGCACAACGGCAATAAATGAATAAAAAACGCTCATTTCATCTCAGATAATGGCTTGGCTAAGGATGCAGATTCAGCAGCAGGAAACAAGGAAAAAACCTAGCAAATCTGTGGTTTCTGCCATGCTGGTTCTGGTAGAGGAGATCTAGTCTTGCCCAGCCAAAATGTTCAACTGCCACAACTGTGCTGTAAATAAAAAAGAGTAGGATCTCTTTGTGTTTTGCTTCCTTTCTGCTGCGGCCGCAGATTAGCCATGGTATAAACTGGCTCAGCCAGAAGTTGTTCTGCCAAAACAGTAGCTGAAACAATGGTGTGGTTTGCAGAAAGAATCAGGAATCCAGATATGCCATCCCTCTGCTTACATTTGTTTGAGGTCACAGTTTTCCATTTAGCGTAGTTTCAACGCTACATATATTTTAATGATTTAAAAAGGAATATAATGCTGTAACAGATCACAGAAAGTTACATGTGGATGGGCTTCAAAACAGAAGAAGTCTTAAAGACAATCTAGAGTTGTCAGAGGGCTAAATCCTCTGGAGATTAAGCTCCCCAGTGTTGTTGTTTTCTTTTTGTTTGCTTAATTAAAAGTCTCTTTAAATAAAATGTAACTGTAAAAGGAGCTGGCCTCAAGTATGAACAGCAGTCACTGATGCTGTTAGGTAGTCAGTCAGTAACTGGGGTACAGCAGAGCAGGTCACCCTCACCTCAGAGACAGTCCTACTGCCACCAGAGCTCTGGCAGTTCTGCAGGGACGCAGGCAGGGCATTGTGTAAGACATACAGAAACCCATGCAGTTAGGTAGGGGAAATACTCATGAGGATGTAACTGACACAAAAATAACCAAGCTCGCTAAGCAGTACAGGAAACAGGAAGATGTACTTTAGGGGATTAAGGCAAAGTACTTATCATGGTAATTTTAAAAGGTTCACATGGAATTATTGGGTATCAGAACTTAGAGCAAACTTAAACTTCCATAAAAATAACGTGCTCCAATGTGCAAATCAATGACGGATCAAACTGTATGCAACAGTACACTTACTTCATATTACTCACTCTCAAAGCACACACACTGTGTCACTGCTAAAGCATAACAAGAAAGATGGAGATGCAAACTGGGAAGTTAAATACATTTAAAATTGCAAACAATTATGAAGACCTGGAGTGTTATTTACTGTAGCTCAGATTTGTACATTGAAAATGACTGCTCTATCAATTAGGTTCTGCTTCTGAATCCACCAACTTTAACTACTGTTGGTCAACGTACTTTACTGAATGCAGGGTGATTTCTCTAGTACCACGAAATTCTGTTTCTTTCAAATTGCAAGTTGAAATGAACAATGTTTGCTGTCTGTGGATGGTATTTTAAACAGTCTAGTACTAATAATTTAACACACATCATATATAAGGAAAGTAAGATGCAGCCAGCAGACAAGAGGTCGGTTCCTAATCATGCTTCTTGCCAGTCTGACTCAACCCTTGCTCTAGGTACCACCTGTCCACAAAGGGCCAGCAGCAAAGTTCTGGAACAATGCTGCTGGGGAAAGGAAGGTAACTTCTTTTCTGTCACTATCAAATGAGATCATATTGCACGAAGAACTTAGCAGAAAGAAAGATGAGATTAACAGCTGTGAAAGGAACAAAATATTTCAGTGAAAAATAAAGGCAAATAACGCACAAGAGAGTATTCTGCCCATGAATTCAAAGTATTGCAATAGTTCCTGAAAAATAATGATGTTCTGCTGAGGACTGAAGGCTAATTTGGTGACCAGTTTTGACCAATAATACGTAGGCATTCCTGCTAACAGATGGGAGGCATGCACAGTGCTCTGCAAAATGCCAGATAGAACTTTTAGCAAGTTTGCAGCAGAGTCAACAAACACAAAAATCTGAAGATCAATATTGGAGCTTGGAAGCACTGAATAAAGAGGCAATGGTCAGCTATTCCCTTTCAGGAGCAAGCTCCCTCTTGTTTGTTTCTTGTCAAGTGAGACAGATATAGTTAAAAGAACAAATGCCTTGCAGAAGCAGAGATTTTCTTCAGCATCACAGTGCAGTGACTGTGATGGTT